AAGATAGTCTTCTCCTAATACAACATTTTGTAAAAATTGCCAAAATAAAAAAACATATATACATATGGTCTACTACATATACATCGTAGTTATAGAAAGAAAAAAAAAAAGTTTTTAAGTGTACAAGTATAACTTGAATTGGTAAGAAGAAAAATTTAAAAAAAAAAAAGTAAGCTTATTTTGAAAAACGACCACATTCATTTAAGAAAGTTTGAATGGTTTTGAAAAGTTCAGCATTTTGTTCAATAGTAAGAGAATCATCGCCCCATAACATTAAATGTACATCTATAACATATAAATAATTAAATGATAAAAGCTTATTCATTAAGGAATTCCTTGCTTTTACATAGTATTTACAAGCAAAAAACAAATGATATGCATCTTCTAGTAGTCCACAAGAACAATTAGAACTTTGAGTACAAAGTCTCTTAAGGAGACACAATTTGATGATGGATTTTTACATGCATTATTTTCAGAAGAGTTCAAGCATACATGTGATTCTTCCGGCGGGAGACAAAATCTCCCAATATTTCACCCCCCTTCTGCCCCTCCCGATTAATTTTTAAATCTTCCGTGTTTTAAAATTCTTCAAATTAAGTATTATTTGCAATATTTTTTTGATCGTGTTTCATTTAATTGCTCAGAATGAAAAGAAATTGAGATAACAACACCAGTGCAATAAATTTTCACAGCGGTAGGCTTCGTAGGAATCAACATGAGGTCGTATAATTATGTTGTAAAAATTAGTGATATATCAACTTGATAAAAGACCATTGATGTTTATTACTGAATGCAAAACATGGAATTAGTTGCTAAAATACCCAGTTGCCAATCTTCTAATGCTGCTTTGGTCATTAAAAGATACAGTTATAATGTAGGTCACACTCTAGTTAAAATAGATCACACCACAGGGTGTTGCTAAAATATACCTGACTCTAATTTGTTTATTTTTTTAGAGGGTACTTTTTTTTCATCTGTACATATTCTATTTAAAAACAAATTACTGACATAGAATTTGTTACATAAAACCTAGCTATGTTTTTCTTCACTTACTAGTTGATATATCTATACTAAATCAAAAATAAAATTTTATCCAATGTTTTAATGATGCTGTTAACTCTTAATTAATTTACTAGGAAATGAGTTGATTTCATTTTGAATACTCAATTTCACTTCATTTGAATAAAAACTTTATCATATTTTTCTTAAAACTTGACAACAACTTTATAAAATAAAATTTGTAAAGTAATAAACTGGGAGAAGGTATTTTTTGCTGAATTTTGGGGGTTGGATGGTCTTTTGCGATTTGAAAAAATGTCGATAAAAAATCTCCAGCTTTGAGACCCAAACTCCAGCTGAAAATTTTCAAATCTCCAGTTGTGATTTTTCAGTTCTGTCACATGTATGTTCAAGGTTGAATATTATCACTGCACCAAGGCGCGACATTTTGTGCATGCTGAGAAAATAACACATTTAAGAAAAAATTGTGATAAAATAGCTAAATCAAGCTATTCTGAATAGCTTAAACACCCAATTTTACGTTAACGCCCCCAAAATCTACCTGATTCAAGATTAATAATATACCGCCTGTCAATCATAGAAAGAACAATAGCTACTGATTTGATTGACAGACCAGCTACCCATGCTACCTGATAATCTGAATTTGCAGATTTTGAAAATGATCGCCTGGTCACGCGTCAAACACTTTCATGTGCCGCGTGAAAAGTCGCTTTGTATATACACTGAGGGTTAAAAAAAATCAAGTCGCTGTTATATTGCATGGTTAGTCATTTTATTGAAATAATTAAGAGTAGAGAATTAAACCTTGACTTCATGATATTTTTTTTTTCAATCTCCACTGCTGTTTGGTACTTTTTAAAAGCGATATGATGTCCATGTCCAAAATAAATGCAACTCTTTTTTGAAGAAAAACTAGCGGCTCGATCTTTTTCAATTACTGCCTGGGACTTGGATCCGGAGAGGAACGAAGTTCCCGTAGCAGCTAAGACCAATAATTCTTCCGAGCCCCTTCTTCAACCTTTGCTGAGATTTTAGTAATCATCGTAATGCCCCTGTCGACCCTGCATTTGGGTGCACAGAAACTCAATGTGAAGCCCGCCAATTAAAATCATGACAAAATAAAATAAAATGTATAAGAAAAATATTTAGCATTAACGTCATGAATTATGAAAGATTCCTTCATCACATGCTTTATCTTTGGATATATATGAATACGAATAGTGATCAATACAAATCTGTGAACACGGACCTTCGGAAATGCTGAATATTTTGGACAACATTGTTGGCACCTGGAGAAAAAAATAAATACATTCCGATTGTGGTAAAAATCCACACGCCGGATAAATTTGATAAATGGGATTTTTTAAAATTTCAATATTCATACTTATTTAATAAATTTTATATTATAGTATTTTCTTTTTGCTCAAAATTAGACACGAAACGCGTAATGTTGACCCTGATTACCAAAGACAGACTTCCTGTGTAATGCAACATGTATAGGAATTTTTGACATCTTGTGTATTGGGGCTCTCCAGGTAAATAACACCAGTACTACCAAGACCACTCCCCCTCCTCAGGTAACCGTACGGTAAAAAAATTGGGTCTTTAATAAAGCTATATAGCTAAATCAAGCTATATAGCTAAATCAAGAGATTGTGTTGGACCTGATAATATCAGAGCACAAAACCATTTCTTATATATTTATTAATAATTTCACCTGATATTCTCATGAGAAAATATTGGAATTTCGTTTTATCTGATACAAAAATTTGGACTATCATAGTGTTTGTTGATAATCAGCACCTTGTTCACACCTCCAACTTCGTATGTGAAGCCTTTGTTTACACAGTTTGACACCAATTACCTTGACTGCATGGCTTGAGTACGACAATGAGGGGATTAGTTATGGATTAGTTAGTGGATGCACACAGGCACATCACCTGTGTTAATAGTGGGCATAGTAGATAGATATGTTTTGTTTACAGTTGTGGTGATCAGCTTGGGTTCAATGATGCACTTGTTAATTATGACAATTATTTGCAATTTTTTCAGCTTGAAATTTTAATTATTGAACTGATTAGCTTAATTGTGTATGACAATTTGCTTGGATAATGAAATAAGCCTATTCAGTCGTTTAACTTGGTCATTTGGCTTAATATTTGTTCACTTTTAAGTGCAAAATTTATGGTTAAAATCACGAACAGCCCATATATTATACTATAAATATACGTCTCAAAATCCATACCATCTTTCTCCACATGGCAGACAAGTATGCATGAGATGGTAAACTCATTAACCAGAGAATTTTCACAAACAGTACAAAATACGTCACCATATTAAAGAAACAAATAAAAACAAAGAAGTTACATTTATAAATTTTATTTTATATTTTTATTTATCTTTAATTTACAATCTATCATCCTCAGAAAAATAGTTTACGGTTAATAGTCAAGCATTTAGTCTACTTCCGTTTGCAAAATGGCGACCAACAAAGAAGGAATGTAAACATGTGCTGAATTAAGATGGCAATAACAATAATTTATATATATTACACCTTGCAAATAATCATGTTTTAAGGTCTTCAAAATATGAAAAACCTGCTGTATACGATGAAAACTATCAAAATGACAAATTAATTTACAAAGTAAGAATGGGTTATTGTGTGATAATTTTTAAAACAATGTTAAATAAAATACATATCAGATATCAGGAGTGCAACACAATAATGTAACATACGGTCACTTCAAAATCTAGTATTTTTTGTAAGAGAACTCATATATAAAACTTCTTTTTTGGCTTAGATATAAAGAATTGACTTGAATGGACAAAAAGTGAATTTTGGGGAATTTTATTGCTTCATATTTTTTTCATATTAAAACTTTTCAAACCAGAATTGAAAAAATAATGTAAAATAACAATCAAAAAGCCAATTTTTTGTCACATACACAAGAGAAGATACTCAATCCAGGTCTAGATTTTATCATTTATACCCCTTTTACCATATTGAAGCATAAAAAACTATAATTTCTTGTGCTTATGTATTTTAGAAAGTCTTTTAAGGTGTAATGATATTTTCTTTTTTCAAAAGAAATTTTACCAATAAAAATTCTTGTACTTTTTAATCCAATTGTCTATTGCCACTTCAGGATTTTGAATTAGAATGCATGTGCAATATGATGAATATAAGTGAAAAATATGTAGTTGAATTTTTCCAAAAATTTCCAGTTTGGTGGTCATTTTTTTTAAATTCACCCCTATAACCACTGCGCCATGCAGGTGACCTGTAAAGTATATAATGAAAAAAAAAATGTTTTTTCATGATTTAACATTTTTTAATAAGGATACTGCAATACTCTTACATCTTTTGGGATTGTTTAATTTCAAATTTAAAAGATGGATAGTGCTTTTTTTTAAATTTCACTTAAATCAAAGATCACACTGACCTTTATGTAAGGTGTGACATACTTTCTACCTAAGATGAATTAATTGGCCAAGTTTGATTATTCCAGGTCTAATAGTTTTTCTAGTTACGAGCCTGTAAGGATTTTCCATATTTGGCCACAGCATCTTAACAAAAGGTCAGAGCGCCCTATTTTTAATGTGTGACACAACTTCTACCCAAAATGTATCAGCTGACATAGTTTAATAATTCTAGGCCTAATAGTATTACAGTTATGAGCTGGAGATGAAAAAGCTAACAGACAGACAGTGACAGATGACGGACATGAATGCCATAAATAATATGTCCAGTCTTAAGTTGGGCACATAATATTTGAAAAATGAATAGTTTTGTGATAAAAAGTCTTTAAGGTTCAAATTCAAGCTTTTTTGTTTTGCACCTGCTGTATATTTTAAAGAAATCAATTAACCCTTTTCCATATCTTACTCATTAACTTAAATTCAATTTTTGATGTATAAGTGGGGAAAAATAGTCTTTACAAGCCTTATTAGACATAAGGTTCCAGAAGGATTACACAAACCTTATTTTTACGTAATTTGGATTTGTTGTCATAACACCATGCCAGGCAGTGTGAAATTTCTCTCCTTACTAACGATTCCTCAACTTCTCTTGATGTCAGAAACAGGTCAATGTTTGTCAGATCCTGCAAAATAAAAAGTTTTCTATCCTTAACAAGAGGCCTTAAAGTCAGCTGAGTACAAAACAACACTATACAAGAGGCCCAAGGGCCTTGAATCGCTCTTCTGATAAACTGTACATAGATAAACCCTTGAAATTCTAATTCACACTCTGAGAACCTAAGATGATTCTAAGCCAATTAGTACCTGAGAGTTGGTCATGGTGACCTACTTACCAATTGTCATTCTCTGAGGACCCATCAACTAAGTTTGATGATTCTAAGCCAATTAATACCTAAACTCTTTTTTTTAAAAATTATAACCATAAAATTTTATAAGAAGGTCAAAGTGATCTACTTTTCATTTGTCGTACTCCAAGGACCCAAGATGCATCAACTGACAAAGTTTGATGATTCTAAGCCAATTAGTACCTGAAATATTTTATTAAAGCCATAAATTTTGAAAAGTAGGTCACAGTGACCTATTTTTCAGTTGTTTGTACTCCGAAGACCCAAGATACATTGACTGACAAAGTTTGATGATTCTAAGTCAATTAGTACCCAAAATATTTAATTAAAGTCATAAATTTTCAAAAGTAGGTCACAGTGACCTACTTTTCAGTCGACCTACTCCGAAGACCCAAGATGCATCAACTGAAAAAGTTTAATGATTCTAAGCCAATTAGTACTTGAAATATTTAATTACAGTCGTATAAATTGAAAAGTAGGTCACGGTGACCTACTTTTCAGTTGACGTTTTTTGAGGACCCAAGATGCATCAACTTACAAAGTTTTATGATCATAGGCCTCAAAATGTCCAAATTATACCTCTAAAATGCTTTGAAATCGAATGCCTGCAAAGTTCAAAAAGTAGGTCACTGTGACCTACTTTTTAATAAATATGGACCGCTCTCTGACAAAACTGGGCTTAATGACATAAGCGTTGACGTTGAGAAAAACGTGTTTTTTGTGACGTCAAATTTTGGCATCTGAAACGCACATTTTTTTCCCTTTCCACTTTTCGTTCTTCAGTTTTATTTTCAGAGTGAAAGTATAAATAAATACCTATGTTGATCGTCATATCGTGTGTAGAATATGATTCTTTGCCATTTGTTAATATTTTCTTAAGATAACACCAATGAATATTCTAATATTATTACACTGTATTAACTGTTACATGTTTGAATCCTACATGTGCACTTCACGGACAATTTTAAGTTGAATGTACATGATATACAAATGAATTTATCAAACTTTTGTTCAGTTATTTTCGCTAATTTTAATATCCTAGTATAATGAATAATTAACCATACGCAGAAACAAATAGAGTCAGTGTCAAAATTTCTATTTATACGTAAACCCGCCTCTATGAATATAAAGTGTTATGATCCACCATTTGAACATCACATGCTGAAAAGCCATCTTTATTTACATTACATCACTCGAACCAGACCTCAAAGCGAGAGAAGGGATAACCACAGAAAGAAGAATGGACGATGATTTATCAGTAAGTAATATAAGTATAAAATGTTTATACTTTGAAAGTTTGCATACATGAAAATTGACAATATTAAATGAGTTTAATTATTTTATAATCTTCATGTATTCTCGTAACATACAGCACCTGTTCTATGCAGCGTTTGTAGGTTGGTAGATCGAAATTATTTTTTTTTTCTGAAATTTTCATGTATGAAACTGCAGTTCGTGTCAAGATTTTTTTCTCATTGTATTGCTTGCAGTTCTTCATGTAGACAATTTATATATTCACAAATCAGCACTACTTTTTAAAAAGCAAGTTCCACGTTTGCACTACTGTTGATTTTTTTTTTCTGTGTTTCTTTTAACGCCGGCGTTGCTTCTGGATTCTATGTTATGTATAAAATTCCTGAATATTTCTCTAAAAGAATAATTAAATCAAATCAATATAAACACATAACATATTTTAAGGTTATTCCAATGATAGGATCTAAAGGGGTCCGGACCCTCCCCCGAATTTTGTGGAGTAATCAAATATAGATTGTAAACTAACTGAAAATGACCTTGGACCCTATTCCTCTGCTAAAAAACAAGGACACATATTAAGATAGTAGGATGAGTAATTCTTTGAAGCTTAAGAGGTGAAGGAAAGCGGATCTGCCTTCACACCCCCATCCCCGAACATCCCCTTTACGAAATAAAGTTTTCATGTTTGAAATAGTGTATGTTTTTGTTTGTTTATTTTTTTTTTCTTTTTACTCGTCATCAAATTATGGTCTAGATTAATTTTTACTGGGGTGGAACCCCTCCCCCCCCCCCAGGAAAAAAATTCCTTGATCCTTGCTTGATTCGGATACATAATGAGGGATACAGAGAGAGAGTGGGATACTTATATACCACCTGAACTTTGCAGGAGTGTCGCTAGCCAGGAGTTTGTGATTCACAAATCATTGGCTAGCAAAGATGGACCAAAATAATAACCAAAATATATTTTTAAAAACATTCTCCGTCAAATTTGTCATTCTGTACCTTTGTTAAGAATTCATCCACATATAAACTTAATTACTATAATTGGTCTAGTAGTAGTGTATATTTGTTAGTATCGAATAATTTTTGCAATAAGTATTCTACAAATATGTAGTCACGACTATTGAAAAATCCTTACTAGGTAAATACAATATATTTTATGTTATTTTTGTTCTTTTGGGTGATTATTTTCCACAGCATTTACAATTTGTAAAGTAACTATATATGACTATCATCAGTAAGTAGAAACTAACACGAGTCTGTACAAGCATAGAAAACAAAAGTGTGTAAACAGATACGATTAAACCAAGAAAAAAAAAAAAAAAAAAAAAAAAAATCAGTTTTTACAGTGTACTAATATTTGGGATAGATATAGCATCAAATTAAACTTTAGTTTAATATTAAATTAAATTTTGACATTGAAACAGCCATGTGTTTTTCCTAGTTTCGGTTTATGAATTTCTGAAGATTGAAAGGTGCATGTCATTTTAAGATATACAAATCAGGAAAAGCTGGCAAAAGGGGAGATACTACCATGACAATTTAAAAGCATAGATGTTCACCTAAAATGTGTCTCCGAGATGGTTGATTTGATTTTGATAGAGCATATCATGAAAAGTAACTCAACTGAAACTCCGTTAGAATGGGGGGGGGGGGGGGGGTTGTTGGGTTGACGATAAGTTCATGTCCTAAATCCACTATTCAGGTGCCTGTGGGAAGTTCATTACTTACTTTGTGGTTTGCATTGAAAACAAATAATTCCTATACACCTGCATATATTAAATATATTTTATTGAATTTTACACAAACTTCCATTGCTCATGGAGAGATATGACCTAAAATTGCATAGTAAGAAAAAGAATTATCCTTCATGCTGTACTATATATAATATCCATAAGAACCGGTGAATCGGAGGGGGCAATATTTTTACCATTAAATACTTAAAAATAGAAAACAAAACTTAATTAAAAATTTTACCCCTCAAAAAAAAAATTTACAAAAGAATATACATATAAAGCTGTTACGGTTGTTCCTTTTTCAAAAGTAAATTGACTTGTTTTGGTTTTATTTGTTAACATTTTCTTTTAGGCTGACCCCCCCCCCCCCCTTCAACTAAAAATAGCTCCTACAGCCTGTTCATATTAAGTCAAGTCTACTTTAATCTTATTTCGTTACACTGAATAACATTTTCAAAAATATATGTAGCAAGTTAAAGGGGGAGTTTCGATAAGGCCGTTTTTCGGCCCCTCACGAAATTTTATGAAATTTTGATATTTTGTAGAAAAACTTCTAAACTTCCTAAAAATATGAAAATAATTTATGTTACGCATTTTCCGGTCACGTGATAATTGAAAATTTAAGTATACCCCCATTTCGTATATTTTGGGAGTAGACATTTTCATAGGGAGAAAGTGGATTTTTTAACCGTCAAAATCGTAAATGAAATAGGATAGATATGAATAAAGACATAAATTAACCAATCTCAATTTTTTTTTACGGAAAATTGTGTTTATCTTATGCGAATGTTTTTTTAAGGAGCGATATTTTTCTGGTGTGTCAAATGTTACTTTTCTTTAAAAGAGGATGGATTTAACTTATGAAACGTAAAATATATAGAACAAGAGGCCCATGGGCCTTGAATCGCTCTTCTGATAAACTGTACAACCTATCACTTCTATTTGAAGCCTCGAAGTATCCTGTATATTTACATAAACCCTTGAAATTCCAATTCACACTCTGAGAACCCAAGATGATTCTAAGCCAATTAGTACCTGAGAGTTGGTCATGGTGACCTACTTATCACTTGTCATTCTCTGAGGACCCATCAACTAAGTTTGATGATTCTAAGCCAATTAATACCTAAAATATTTTTTAAAATTATAACCATAAAATTTTATAAGTAGGTCAAAGTGACCTACTTTTCAATTGTTTTACTCCAAGGACCCAAGATGCATCAACTGACAAAGTTTGATGATTCTAAGCCAATTAGTACCTGTAATATTTAATTAAAGCCATAAATTTTCAAAAGTAGGTCACCGTGACCTACTTTTCAGTTGCTGTACTCCGAGGACCAAAGATACACCGACTGACAAAGTTTGATGATTCTAGCCAATAAGTACCCAAAATATTTAATTACAGCCATAAATTTTCAAAAGTAAGTCATGGTGACCTACTTTTCAGTAAACCTACTCTGAGGACCAAAGATGCATCAACTGACAAATTTTGACGATTCTAAGCCAAAAAATTCCTGAAAATATTAAATACAGCCATAAAATTTCAAAAGTAGGTCACCGTGACCTACTTTTCAGTTGTTGTACTCCGAGGACCCATGACGCATCAACTGAAAAAGTTTAATGATTCTAAGCCAATTAGTACCCGAAATATTTGATTAAAGCCATAAATTTCCAAAAGTAGGTCACCGTGACCTACTTTTCAGTTGTTGTACTCCGAGGACCCATGACGCATAAACTGACAAAGTTTGATGATTCTAAGCCAATTAGTACCCGAAATATTTAATTAAAGCC